CAAGAAAAACAAACTGTGAAAATTATTCCTCTCATCCCTGTCTTCCATTTGCTCAGGGCCCACTCTGTCCCTTGCCTCATTACAGGTAATCACTGGTGTTAGTTTCTTGGATGTTAGAAATCATGTCTGTATTCACACACAAGTAAATACATAGCTTCATTTCCCTTTATACATAATGTTCTTTAACACAGTTATTTTAGTTGGCTAGGGCTGCCATAACAACCACCACACACAAAATGACAAAAATTTATGTTCTTCCAGGTTTGGAGGCTGGAAGTCCAAGATCATTGTGCTGGTAGGATTAGATTCTCCGAGGCCTCTCTCCTTGGCCTATAGATGATCCCCTCTGTACTGTGTCCTCACATGGCTATCCATTCATCTGTGTTGTCTCTACCCTAATCTCCTCTTCTTAAAAGAACAACACAGATGAATGGAGGACATGTGAGGACACAGATTGGTTTAAGGCCCACCCCACTGACCTCCTTTTAATTTGACTATTTCTTTAAAGACCCTGTCTGCAAATACAGATTCTGAGGTACTGAGGGTTAGGGCCTCCACATAGGAAGTATGGTGAGAGAACACAATTCAACCTGTCAAAACAGTTCCATCCTTTGCCTTGTCCACTTAACAATCTACCTTGGTGATATCTCCATTTCAGTTTATAGAAAGGTTGCTCATTTCTTTGAGTTATAGAGTAATTATTGTATGGATGACCTAGTCCCCTATTGATGGACACTAGGATTGTTTCCAAGATTTTGCTACTCTAAACAATGCTGCAATGTATAAGCTTGTACCTATTTCATTTTACACCAGCATCTCTGTAGACAAATTCCCAGGAGTGAATTGTTGAGTCAAATATTTTGTGTATACTTGTCATAATACATCATCAAATGGTCTCTTCTCGGCTCCAGCAATGTGCCTACTTCCCCAGAGCCACATCAATAAGGTATACTGTCAATTTTTTGGATGCTTGCCAATCAAATAGGGGGAAAATGCTATCTCAAAGAAATTTAACCTGCATTCTTCTCTTAATGAGCGAAGTTGGATTTTTTTTCACATGATTAAGAGCCATTTACTTTTTTTTCTGTGCATTCCTCTCACTGTTTTTCATTAAGTTGTAGGATTTTTTTCTTATTAACTTCTGAAAGTTCCTTATGCTAGGTAGATTAGTTCTTTGTCTACCATATATGTTGGAACTATTTATTCGTTGTTAATCATCTGTCTTTTGACCAGGTTCATGCCACTTTTTGCTAAATCAAAGTTTTTCATAGTGTGGCTTCTGGATTTTGAGCAGGAGTTAGAATGGCCTTCTTTACTCCAATATTAAAAAGGATTTTTTCCTGCGTTTTCTTCTTGTCCTTTTATGATTCCATTCTTAAACACTCATATCTTTCTTCATTTGGATTTCATTCTAATATGGTGTAAGGTCTGGACCCAATTTTATGTTTTTTTCAGATGGCTATATTTTTGTCCCAATACCATTTATTGAATAATCGATATTTATCCCCAGCGATTTCCCAAAATTATTCGGGTGCATTTCTGGATTTTCTGTTATAAATCATTGGTCTGTCTATTCACTTATCAGTGACACACTTCTTTATTGAGGATTTTATTTAAAAAAATTTTTTTAGGGGCGCCTGGGTGGCTTAGTCGGTTAAGCGTCCGACTTTCGCTTGGGTCATGATCTCGCGGTTCGTGGGTTCAAGCCCCGCATCGGGCTCTGTGCTGACTGCCAGCTCAGAGCCTGGAGCCTATTTCGGAGTCTGTGTCTCCCTCTCTCTCTGACCTTCCCCTGCTCACGCTGTCTCTCTCTCTCCTAGAAAAAAAAAAACTTATAAAAAAAATTTTTTTAAAACTCATGACCCCAAGATCAAAAGTCAGATGCACTACTAGCCAGGCAGGTGCCCCTTTATTGAGGCTTTTAAATATGTTTTCTTATTTTGTAAGGTCTAGTTGCCATCCCCCTCCCTATTACTCTTTATTTCCAAAGTTTTCCTTGGCAGATTCTTTCTTTTACTTCTTCTTGTTATTTCCTATAGGTAAATTAGCATCACTTCATCTAGTTAAAAATAGTTATTGGTGTTTTATAGGAATGGTACTTTAATTCAAAAATTAATTTAGAGAGCATTGACACGTCTTTGGTGTTAAATCCACTTATCCAAGAATATGATTTTTTCCATGTGTTTAAGTGTTTTTTTGTGGAATTCAGGAGTTAAAGTTTTATTCACATAGTTCTTGTGCAATTCTTATAAAAGTTTATTGCTAGATATTATGTCATTATATTCATATATTTATATATATTTTCCTGTATCTTTGTATAATATTGATCTTTTATATCATTTCATTATATCTTCTAATTGGTTATTTAGATACGATAGCTATATTTTTTCATTTTGATTATTGCTTATTGCCAAATGCTCTTATTGTTTATATAGTTTTTCAGACAATCCCACCTGCTTTTTTTTTAATGTTTTATTTATTTTTGAGATAGAGAGAGAGCATGAGCAGGGGAGGGTCAGAGAGAGAGGGAGACACAGAATCCGACGACAGGCTCCAGGCTCTGAGCTAGCTGTCAGCACAGAGCCCGATGTGGGGCTCGAACCCACGAACCGTGAGATCATGACCCAAGCTGAAGTCGGATGCTTAACTGACTGAGCCACCCAGGGGCCGCAATCCCACCTGCTTTTGACCTCATGTGTAAGTGAGAAGTAGAATTTTGTTGTGTGAAGACACTGAGATTTTGGGCTTGGAGCACTTCCTAGCTAGCCTGACAGAAACAAGTGAAAGAAAGAAAAAGAAAGAAGGAAAGAAAGAAAGAAAGAAAGAAAGAAAGAAAGAAAGAAAGAAGAAAGAAAGAAAGAAAAGAAAGAAAGAAAAGGGGGTATCTGGGTGGCTCAGTCAGTTAAGCATCTGACTTTAGCTCAGGTCAAGATCTGATGGGTTTATGAGTATGAGCCCCATTTCGGCCTCTCTGCTGTCAATGCAGAGACTGCTTTGGATCCTCTTTCCCTCTCTCTCTCTGCCCCTCACCAGCTTGCTCGCTCTCTCAAAATAAGGAAATAAAACTAAAAAAAAAAAAAATTAAAAGAAAAAGAAAGAGAAGATGCTCAACACACAAATATTTTAGGGTAAAATTCTTTGGGAGGAGTGGAAGAAGGAGAAAAAGGAGCAATTAAATTTTTAGTTACAGAACTTACTCATTTATTTTTAAAAGGAAAAAAGTAGGAATTGAATTACCATAGTGTTTACATTCTCAAGGATGTTTTAAAAAGTAACATTATGGGGCGCCTGGGTGGCTCAGTCGGTTAAGTGTCCGACTTCGGCTCGTCCGATTTCGGCTCGGGTCTTGATCTCATGGTTTGTGGGTTCAAGCCCCGTGTCGGGCTCTATGCTGAAAACTAGCTCAGAGCCTGGAGCCTGTTTCAGATTGTGTCTCCCTCTCTCTCAGACACTCCCCTGCTCACACTGTCTCTCTCTCTCTCAGAAATAAGTAAAAAAGTTTTAAAAAAGTAATATTGTTTTTTAAAAAATTTTCTTAATGTTTATTATTATCGAGACAGAGAAACACAGCATGAGCAGGGGAGGGGCAGAGAGAGAGATGGAGACAAGAAACCGAAACAGGCTCCAGGCGCTGAGTTGTCAGCACAGCGCCCGACGCGGGGCTCGAACCCAGGAACTGTGAGATCATGACCTGAGCCAAAGTCGGAAGCTCAACCGACTGAGCCACCCAGGCGCCCCAGCATTGTTTTGGTTTTGGTTTTTTTTTTTAAATGTCAACATTTACAGCTTGTCAGAAAGGACCTCCTTTGCAACTACTTTAATCTGCACCGAACTCTTACAGACATGTTAGGTACAGTCTTAAGGAACTGTTTGTAGTGAGTGTCCCTCCAGATCTGGTTGTTCTTTGCACAGTCAGCAAGGTAAACTGCCCGCGTTCTCTCTGTTGAATACAGGCCCACAGGGTTGTCCTGTTCTCTTCAGACCCCTAAAAAAGACCCATCTCAGCCTGCACCTCAGGATTCCTCCAGCTCTCTCCACAGCGGACTCACTCTCAGCTCAGGCTGGGACCTTGGAGGTTCTATTAATGTCAAGCATGCAGCTAGAGGTGTTCTGGGAAACTAAAACCCAGAACTACCCCTTTAAGAGCAAGCGCTCTGACGCTAGATGTTGGGGTTTGAACCCTGAGTGGGCTTTCTAACAGCGTGTTTTTCAAGGCTTGTCAGCCTCTTTGTGTCTTAATTCTGTCATTTGCAAAATGATTTATCACAAGCATTAAATGACTTAATGAATGCAGACCACAGGAAACAATGATTTGCAGAGTGAATGCAGCGCCCGTAGCTTCTACGTGGTGCCCCGCGTCGCTGGGACATGCTTCGTTGCGACGTTCCATGAGGTGTTCAAGGCCGGGCTCCCTGTTGCTCTGTGGGGCAGCACTTCGCCTCGCCTGCACGCCCCTACATTACACCAGTTCCTGGCTGGGGTGCCTAGGGAGCCTTGTGCTGTTATCACCATGGGGCACCACAGCCAGCACACCAACCGCCACTGCACCTTTGCGTCTGCATTTACACACAGTTTCCTGCAGTACGGTGGCAGGAGCTTAGGTATTTTAAAAATACGAAATTAAATACATTTTTTCTTATAAGAAATTAGTCCACTTCTATGATTCTGTTTCAATACGTTTCCGTATCGCATTAGAACGGCAAAAATAACGCGAGGAAAAGTAGTCCATAGTGAGCACCTATTCCGAAAGGTCAACACAGACGTCCCCACGAGTGCCCCCGGCCACTCAGGCCTCTCTCCCTACAGCGCCGCACGCCGCGACCATCGGGAAGCCCAGCCCGGGGTGACACGCCGCGCAGCTCCCTGCAGACTCCATCCGGGCGCCTCTCGACGCCGGCGGGAGCGCGCACGCCGCCTCCCCAGTCTGGGCGGAGCCATACAGTCACGTGCCCGGCGCGTCCTCGCCGCGGCGCGCTCCAGGCGGAAGTGAGGTCGGTGGCTCGGTGGCTGCGCAGCGTCGGCGGGGAGCGCGGGCTGCGGAGAGGCGGGCCTGGCGGAGCGCAGCGACTGGAAGCGCGAGCCGGGGAGGCGGCGGCAGCGGCGGAGACGGGGGCCTCGCGGCTCAGCCCCCGCATCAGAGCAGACCTCCGCGGCGCTCGCCCCTCGCTGAGCCCCACCGCCGAGCCCGCCCCGGGCCGGCGTGCACTGGTCACCAAGGCCCAGGTCGCCGCCGCCGCGGCGCGGTGAGTGCGGGCGGGCGCCCCCGGGCGGGGGCGGGGCGGGACGCTGCGCCCTGTCGGGCCCCGGGCCGCGCGCGGGCCCAGGCGGCGGGCTCGGGCGGCGTCGCTGCCCGGCCGGAAGTGCGGCGCTTTGTGCGGCCGGCCTGGGGCGGCGCCAAGGTCGGGCCGGCGGCTCGGGGTCGCCTGGCGCCCGGGCAGGGGGAACGGCCTGGCGGCACCCGCGGCGGTAACCCAGGCTGTGCTTTGTCCGGTGGGACGGATCTAGCCTCTGGGAGCCCGAGGGAGGCGGAACTGGGCGCGGACTGGTACGCGGGCAGGTGCGGTGTGGGCGGCGGGGGACTGCTACCCAGGTGGCTGGGGAGAGGTGGAGTCAGTGCACAAGAATGTTCTCTGGGCCTTTATAAGGACCGACTTAGATCAGGTCAGGAACACGTATGAAAAATGGGGAAGCAGCAGGGTGTTGTTTTCTGTAACTTAGATTTGGGATTCTTGTGGTTGCAGTCATTTCAAATGTGTAAACTAGTCACCTTGTCTACCCACAAAATAAAAATGATTCTGTTTGCCTGGCAGAAGCTTCGTGTTCGCTCTCCAACTTGAAAGGCTTATTAATTTCTTCAGAAAGGATGTTTCGTGGCCCAATCTGGGTTAACTTTAAAGAGGTGTATCTTTGCAGCAAGTCCACAAACGGTGTTTTTCTTCTGCGTACTCAAGTGTGCGTCTTAATGGGCCGTATGAGTTAATGTTTTATTAAAGTCATACATAAAAATATTCGGGAGTGTTTTTGGCATGCAAGAAAAAATTTTAAGTGAAAAGGTTTGTCTCATTCCCACACCTTAAATTTTCAAGGCTCCTTGTGTAATTTGAGATGATTTTCTCAAATAATTACGTGAAAAAGTTTAAAAGTTTTTTCTGTAGACAATAATAGGGATCCATTTTGCAACTTTGGTAAGTAAAGAAGTAGTGGATTATTTTTGCTTCGACAGCCAATTGGACTTTTTCTAATGCTGAAGCTACTGTAGTGCATCTTGAGGATTTCTCTTAAGCTTTAAAGTGGGCTGGCTTTGGTGGGAGCGTGGTTACTTATCTTTAGTCGTGTTTGTGAGTAGATGGAAGCTAAGGTTTGGTAGCGGTCCTGAAGGCCTTAAGAGTTGGAGACAGCCGAGCCAGCTGCCAGTGCCTTCTGTTGGGTGTCCTTGTGCAGCGATTGCTAAAAGTGTTGAGCAGGTAGCATCCCCTCCTCCTGGCTCCTGACCCTGGAAATAGTGGAAAGATTGGGATATGTGTCTGAGGCAATTACCTGCAACTCAGGAGGAAGCACCATCTGCTGCTGATGCTGCTCCTGCCTTCTTTTCAGGCCCTGATAAATTTGTTAAGATTTTTAGTTACTGTTCTGCTCTACATCTGCCTTCAGCTCATTTCCACTTTAAAAATTGTAATGCCAAAATTCCTTGAATTTTCAAACACTGAGAAAACTGGTAGAGATAGAGGATTAGAATTGGAAAATAAGAATTTATGTGCATTTTAAAATATTTTAATTTTTTATATATTCTGTAGTTTAAAGGGAAGTTTTATTTCTCACATAAACAGCTTCTTTTCCTAGATCAGTTGAGAGCACTTTAAAAATATATTTTTTAATTTATTTCTGAGAGAGAGACAGTATGAGCAGGGGAGGGTCAGAGATAGAGGGAGATACAGAACGTGAAGCAGGCTCCCCAGGCTCTGAGCTAGCTGTCAGCACAGAGCCCAGCGCGGGGCTCGAACCCATGAATGGTGAGCCGAAGTCTGATGCTTAACCGACTGAGCCACCCAGGCTCCCCGAGAGCACTTTTAAAACAATACACCAGTGTAGTAGAGTGATAGTTATTTTTCTTATGCCTGTGTTCCATTGTACAGGTATGTCTTTGAAGTCACCAGTCCTGTGCAGAAATACAAGAATTTCTTCCGATTTCTACCTCAGGAGTGAAGGTAGAGTTTGAGGGAGTTGAAAATTTTCTCCTCTTAAAAAAAAAAAAGTTTATTTTGAGGGAGAATGAGTGTGCACACTTTAAATTTTTTTATATTTGATTAGTTAGATATGAAAGCTGAACCCACTGGCCAATCTTAACATCATCATAACAAGTCAAACTGTTTTAACACTACATGCATCCTCATGTGATAGAATTACTCTGCATCACCTAAGGGGTACTGCTACAAAAAACATTACCGTATGAATCTATAGATCCTATACATCCAACTTCTAGTTTACGGAGAAAATAAAGGAATAGGATGAACAACACCATGGAGCAATCAGACAAACCCAAAAGTTGGGGCATTCTAGAGGACAGTTATTTTTATAACTAAAATCTTTTTACAGTTTTTTTTCAATATAAATCAAAATCCTAACAAAATCCACCTAATGGCTTGTATGTCTAAATCTATTTGAATCTAGATCTGCCCTCCCCACCCCTCTATCTTTTTTTAGACCATTGACTTACTGAAAAAACTGGATCATTTGATTTTTAAAATGCCCTCTTTTAGTTTTTCTGATTGCTTCAGGGTATTGTCCATTCTGTTCCTCCAGTATCTTTGTCTGTAAACTAGAAGTTGAATGTATAGGATCTATAGATTCAGACTGTAGTGTGTTTTGTAGCAGTACCCCTTAGGTGATGCAGAATTAATTTATCACATGAGGATGTATGTAGTATTAAATAGTTTGACTTGTAATGATGATAAGATTGGCCAGTGGGTCCAGCTTTCATATTCACTAATGAATAAATAGAAGTGTTTCAACAATTCTGAGTTACATATTTTTTAACTTTAGTTTGAGAGAGAGAGGGAGAGAATCCCCTCAGGCAGGCTCTGAGCTCTAAGTGCAAAGCCTGGTGCCAGGCTCAGCCTCACAGACTGAGATCATGACCTGAACCAAAAGCAAGAATCACATGCTCAGCTGACTGAGCCACCCAGATGCCCCTAAATTTTGAGTTATATTTTAAATAAATGATAAATGTCTGAGCTTCGTGGTTTTGTTTGTTTGTTTGTTTTAAAGTAAGCTCTGTGCCGAATATGAGGCATAAACTCAACCTAGAGATCAAGAGTCACATGCTCTCCTGACTGAGCCAGTCAGGCGCCTCTCAATTTCATATTCATTGCTGTGAAAAGTTATATTTTTTGTTAGTTCTTCTATTCAATAATATTCAGAAGATACACATAAGCTACCTGTATGCCAACCATTGGTGAAATGCAAGGAGAAAGAGCTAAGAAAATTATTTTCCCTATCCTTGAGGCTCAGAATTTTGGAGGAATCTCAGTTTTTGAATAAGTAACTTAAGAACCTTTTGACATTAATTCACAGACTTCGTCTTTATATTATTCAGGCCTTTTTATTGAATAAGAGAGGGAAGTGCATCATTTTCTTTCATCAATCTTGTTGTATTTTCTAAGCCTGTAATTTTTAATTCATTAAGACTTTTCATTCACTATAGGAAACATTATTAGCCTCTGGGGAAGTAAAAGTGCTTTTAGGAACTATAACTTCTGAGTAGTTTGGAACTTATGCTATTGAGAATTCAAGTGCAATTCTGTACATTTTTAGTGGCAAATGCATAGTAGAACTGTGTTATTGGTTTGCAGTGAGATCCTTATGGCAGGAGAGCTTTATGTTATTCAGTGCTTTCCTGAGTTATTTAAAAATTTTGGCTAGTATTGGGGAGCCTGGGTGGCTCAGTCGGTTGAGTGTCCAGCTTTGGATCAGGTCATGATCTCATGGTTCTTGGGTTCGAGCCCCGCGTCAGGCTCTGTACTGGCAGCTCAGAGCCTGGAACCTGCTTCGGATTCTGTGTCTCTCCCTCTCTCTCTGACCCTCCCCTGCTCACCCTCTCTCTCTCTGTCTCTCAAAAATAAACGAAACATTAAAAATTTTTTTTAAATAAAAATAAAATTTTTGGCTGTTATGAATAATGTTATAAACATTTGTGTACAAATTTTTGTGTGGATGTATGTTTTCATTTCTCTTGAGTATTTACCAAGGTGTAGAATTACCAGGTCATATGGCAAGTTTTGTGTTAAATTGCTATGCTGTTCGTAAGCTTCATTGCCTACTTGAATACATCTCCTATTCAGCCCCACTTCCATAACCATATTTGCTGATTTCCTACAAGTCCAGTTGCCCAATATTCCTGAAGTGCATCTTGCATTTTCTTATTTCTATGACTTTTTGGGATCCTACTTGTTTAGAGCCTGTTGGAAATACCACCTCTATAGTCAAGTTTTTTCTGTACATTCATTTCCCCCCCTCACCTGTTGAATTTTTGTTCTCCTCACCCCCTCAGAACAATTTATTCTTTTATGGTTCTTAATGTGGTTATTACTAGTGTTTGCTGTATATCATCATTATTCATGTCTTTTGTATTTTAGGACTGGGTCGTCCAGTACAATAGCCGTCACGTAGGTGTGACTGTTGAAGTTAAACTAAAATGCAGTTCCTTACGTGTGTGAGCCACATTTCAAGTGTTCACTAGCAAGCCATTAGTGGCTACTTTACATGGACAGAGTACCATATGTTTTCTTCACAGAAAGTTCAATTGGACAGCACCTTCCTCAATTGTAAACTCAGAACTGGGACTGGGACTTGGTGTTTTTTTTTTTTTTTTTTTTTCTCTCTGTGGCCTTTGCATAGTGCTTTGCTTATCTTGAATTCAGTTGAAAAAATGAAATTAGATCCTGGCACTGAATAGAGAAACAGTTTTGGAAAGTATGCACATTCTTGAGAGATCATAGTCGAACTACAGAGATAAATAGCATTTGTGAGGGCTTCCACAATTCTTATGTTGTACATCCACTAAGAATGGGTTAAAAGTGCAGGATAATAGGGATTGGCAGTTGCCAATTTATTTTTTTGCCAGTTTGCTTATTCTTAAACTGTGGGATAAAATACATAATTAATTCTCCTGCTTGCTTTCTGTGCCTTCCTATTATTTTCTCTCATCTATGTTGTAGACATGTACTGTCCATTATGATAGCCTCTAGCCTCAAATGACTATTTAAGTTTAAGTTGAAGGTGCCTGACTGGCTCAGTCAGAGGAGTGTGCAACTCTTGATCTCAGGGTCCTGAGTTCAGGTCTCACTTGAGTATAGAGATTACATAAATAAACAAACTTAAAAAAAATAAATTTGAGTCAGATAAAATTTAAAAATCAGATTCTGCAGTAGCCAAGCCATATTTTGGGTGCTCAGTAGTTACTTTTAGCCAATGGCTGCCATATCGGAAGGCATAGAGAGCATCCTCATAGTTGGAGAGAGTACTGTTGGCCCGTACTGATCTAGACTTATCTCTTAGCTGTAACTGTGGATGTCATGGTAAAGTTGGCACCCGCCTTGTGGTTTAGAAGTTTAAAAAAAAATTAGTTCTTCAGATAATGAGTATCTGAATCACAAATATTCCTCATTTATTCCTAATTTAGACTAGAGCTTATTACAAAGGTTAAGGATGGGAAGGACCTTAATTATTTTTTTGTGTGTTGAGCTGCTTGATTATGAATATGCTACGTGAGTCAGGTAAGCTGAGGCTTTGAGGTAATTTTTGTGGTATGTCTTTGTAATGGAATTTGATACCTAGAGTGTTTGAAAGTGTATGTGTTTTTTTTAGAAAGTCAGCAGGTACTTGCACCTGTTTTGTACTAGACACTGTTATTGTTGCTGAAGGTATTGCAGTAAATAGGACCAAGTCCCTTTCCCTGTCTGTGTGGGGCCACTTTCTATTGGGGATGTGATGAGGGTGTTTTACTAAACAAGTAAATATATGTACGTTTTATTTATTTGTATATTTTTAATTTTTTTTTTTAGCATTTATTTTTTGAGAGAGAGAGCGCTAGAGTGTGAGCAAGGGAGGTACAGAGAGAGAGGGAGACACAGAGTCTGAAGCAGGCTCCAGGCTCTGGGCTGGCTGTCAGCACAGAGCCCGACGTGGGGCTCGAACCCACGAATGGTGAGATCATGACCTTAGCTGAAGTTGGACGCTTAACCGACTGAGCCACCCAGGCGCTCCTACAGTAGACTTTTTAAGAGCAGTTTTAGGTTCACAGTAAAATTGATTGGAAAGTACAGAGAATTCCCTTATACCTGTTGCCTGCCATCCCCCCAACCTGTGCTGTTTTATTTTTAAATTTAAGATCTCCCATAATCCTTACTGCAGTGTAAATCAGTGAGTGACTTACTGGATGATGAATACAGAATAGTATTAATTGAACTCACTTTCAGAATACATTGGGTGATAGAATTCAGAGGAGCTTGCTGAAGATACCAATGAGAATCATGTTTCTATTGAGGAAAGTAAATTCATGGTTGTAGCTGTGTAAGTTGAACTTTACAGGGTAAAGTTTATGAGAAAACATTGGATGGGTTAATAGAGTTGCTGGTTTGTAGCTGATTTGTCTTTTAAGAAAATATATATTTCACCAAAGTTATTTAATAAACAGAAAAGTGCAAAAAGAACACTAACCCCACCCCATCTAGAGACAGCCTCTGTTCATATTTTTATGTTCTCCCAGACCTTTTCTGTTTGTGTTGTATGTATACTACATACTACATGTGGGTGCAGATTTGAGATCATACTAAATAATGCAGCATCGGTCCCTTCCTTTTTTCATATAACATGTGTCAGTCATGTTCTTAAATATTTTAAAAAGTAGCTGTGTAATATTTCATATTCTGAATAGATCTGGTTTACTTAACTATTCTTTGTTACAGGGACATTTAAATTATAAGGACATTTTCTCACTGTTTTAAGCAGGGCCATAGAGCACTTTTTCCCTTAGCTTCCTGTGGACTGAAGAAGCTGTGAAGGAAAGTTTACAGTGTTAGGGGGGTGCTCATCAGGACTTCTGGCCTTTCTTTGCTAAATTGATTGGCAGCAGCTTGAAATGCTTTGGTTTTAGTAGACAATCTGAGGAGGGACTCTTGCTATTTGCTCTTTTGAGACTGATGTTGGAGATAAACTGGAGAAAAAAGTGTTTGGCTAAATCACTGTTCTGTTTTTTTTTTTGTTTTTTTTTTTCCTTTTTAGTTCTTGAAATCATGAATCCTGTTTATAGCCCTGGTTCTTCTGGGGTTCCCTATGCAAATGCCAAAGGAATTGGTTATCCAGGTAAGCCAAGTATTTTGTTTTGTTACAGAACTTTGAACACCCAGTAAATTGCCATGTCACTAAGAATGCTTTGAATTGACAAACCTAGCTCAATGTGAATTACACAAGGAAGAAAATGTTTTGGCTCATGGAACTGAAAAATCAGGAGCTAGGACTGACTGGTCAAAGCTTGATCTGGTGGCTCCAGCAGGTGGTACTGGGATCTAGCTTCTGCCTCCTGGACTCAGCTTCACTTCCTCAGGATTGGCTTAGTGTTGATCATGGGTTACACTTCTCCCCATTGTGGTCTCTCTCTGGTGTTCAGCCCCTCCCAGTAGTATACCTGCTATGAGCCTCTCTGTATCTGCTCTACAGGAACCCTTCCTGGGGCTTCTTGTTCTCTTTTCAGACCAGTCCTGGGGTGTGTTCTGATTGCACTCAGCTTCTGTCCCTGGGCCAAGGAGGAGATTCTACTGATTAATTTAGGTCTTAGGCATATTCTTCCCTTATTGGAGTCAGCTAGTCAAACTTGGGCCTTGAGGGAGGCAGTAAAGCAAATTTGGGGGAGTAGGAGCTGGTTGGTTCAACACAGCAATGATCATCCTAGTTGGTGACATCCAACATGGGATAATTTGATTTTTTTTTAATTTTTAAATTTTATTTATTTTTAATTTTTTTATTTTAGAGAATGCATGTGAGCAGGAGAGGTGGGCAGAGGGGGAGAGAGAAAATCTTACGCAAGCTCTAACCTTAGTGTGGTGCCTAACTCAGGGCTGGATCCCATGACCCTGGGATCATAACCTGAGCCAAAATCAAGAGTCGGTTGCCCAATCCACCAAGCCACCCAGGCACCTCAAGGAGCAATTATTTATAATGTTAAAATTGTTTTGTGGATTTTGATAATATGGTGGAACAGATACCCTTAAAATCCTGTTGCTAAAAAAACTCTAGAAAATTCAGTAAAACATTTAGGGTCGCCTGGGTGGCTCAGTGGGTTTAAGTATCCAACTTCGGCCTAGGTCATGAACTTACGGTTAGTGAGTTCAGGTCTCACTTTGGTTTCTCTCCTGTCAGTGGGAGCCTGTTTCAGATCTTTGTCTCCCTCCCCTGCTTGTGTGCTCTCTCTCAAAAATAAATACTTTATAAAAAACTGAATAAAACATTTTAAAAATAACTGAACTTGGCAGGGTAGTGAGCAAAATATCTGTAGCTAAATATGAAAGTGACATAAAAACCAGTGCATTTGGCCATTGAACTCATAATGAGCTTGTCCTAGGTGCATTTGCTAATTGTTGGTTTTAACAAGCCACATGGGGACAGAAAGTGAGGCCTTAGGCTGTTGTGAGGCTGAGAATTGGGAGTGGCACCCCTCATCAATCTTGTTCCTCCTGAGGGTCATACTCCCAGGGAAGAGGTAGACTAAAACAATTCTTTCACTGGCTCCACCAGGGAATTTTATTTCTGCTTGGGCTCTAGGAAGGGGGAAATCTTTCCTAAGACTTTATAACTAGTCAGGGATGTTGGAGGCTCTACTGTGTATTACTCAAACTTACCAGGGGGTCCATAATTGAGAAACTAACATAAAAAGTGGTCTGCAGCCTGCATTACCCCCAAGCACCTAACAGCAGCAAATGCAGAACTGCTCTAGAGGCATATGTTCACATTCCAGGTTATGTGAGTTTTCCACAAAATTCTGCCTGTTAACAATGCAAGTAAGAGTCACCAGTCATGATGGGGCGCCTGGGTGGCTTAGTCGGTTAAGCGTCCGACTTTCGCTTAGCTCATGATCTCGTGGTTCGTGGGTTCGAGCCCCGCGTCGGGCTCTGTGCTGACTGCCAGCTCAGAGCCTGGAGCCTGTTTCAGAGTCTGTATCTCCCTCTCTCTCTGACCCTCCCCTGCTCACGCTGGCGCTCTCTCCCCTAGAAATAAATAAAAATATTAAAAAAAAAAAAAAGAGTCACCAGTCATGATAGACTGCAGAGGTAGAACATCAAGTAGAAACCACATCACATAAACAAGTTTAGAATAGTTGAAGATCTAAAAGAAAGAATCAGAATATAAGAGGGGAATAAGACACTGAGTAGGGAACATAAGGAACCAAAGGAACTTAAAAAGGAATGCCATTTGAAAAAACATCAGGTTAAATTGCAGGTAAAACACTGCTAAATGGGGGAACCAGGATATCAAATAAGGAAAGCAGGGGAGGGCTATAGGAGAGCAGTTGAGAAATCAAGATGTCAGAATGAGAAGATTTGGAGAGAATTAAGAGCTCCAAAAGGTTGAATAGAGAGACTAGAAGAAAAGGAGTGACAGAATTTTCTGGAATTGATAAAGGGAAATTTAGTAATAAGACTTACTGTCTTTAAGTCATCAGACTAGTTTAAATAGAATGTCAAATAGTTGAGGAGAATCCTAGGTGGATCTGGAGCAAGGGAAATTGGCAAAACTCTGTGGTATTAGTATTGCCTGAGAGTAATAAAACATCGTTGCCTTTCATATTCCAGTTCTGTGCAAGGCACCTAAATTCTGTTCCTGTTCTTTGGTTGGTCAAAAGCAGGGATTGGCACACTTTATGTAAAGGTCCGGATGTAGTATATAATTTAGGCTTTGTGGGTCTCTGTTAAAGCTACACAACTGCGACTTTCCAGAACAAAAGCAGCCATAGACAATAGTGAGTGTGTGTTTCAGTAACACTGGAAACCGCCTCAGTAGGTTTATTTTTTTTTCAAAATAGGAGTGACTCTTCATGTATTTTTTTTCTTGCTTCCTTCTCTCTTGGGACTTACATTTACAAGTGTATTCAATCATTTTACTTTGTGTCTTGTCTTTTGCATCTTTTTTATCTTTTACATTTTTTTCCTCTCTAAGCTTTAATGTGGATATTTTGTACTAATCTGCTTCCATTTCACTAATCTGCTATTTCTTCTCCAGTTAGCTATAAAATACATTTATTGAATTGAATTTTTTCATGAACTCCCATGTTCTCTTTTTTCCAACGTACTAATCACAGCTATTTTAAAGACCTTGTTTGGTGACTGCAGTCTGTGAATCACCTGTGGGTCTGTTTCTGTTGTTAGTTTGTCCCTTTTTGTGTTTGTTTCTCAGCCATGTGGTCCTGTCTCGGCATATCTACTGTTTTTTCATTCAATGTAATACACAGTGTATTAAGAATTGTAGGTGGGCAGTCCCTATCAAAACCTGTCAAACCTATCAAAGTCCCTATCAAACACCAGCATTCTTCACAGAGCTAGAACAAACAATCCTAATTTGTATGAAACCAGAAAAAAACCCCACATAGCCAAAGCTATCCTGAGAAAGAACACTAAGGCTGGAGGCATCACAATTCCGGACTTCAAGATGTATTAGAAAGCTGTAATCATCAAGACAGTATGGTACTGGCATAAGAAGAGACACATAGACACACAGATCAAATGAACAGTATAGGCAACCCAGAAAGGGATCCACGAACATATGGCCAACTAATCTTTTTTTTTCTTTATTGTTTGTTTTTGAGAGAGAGAGAGAGACAGACAGACAGACAGAAAACAAGCAGGGAAGGGATACAGAGAGAGGGAGACACAGAATCTGAAGTAGGCTCCAGACTCTAAGTTGACAGCACAGAGCCCAACATGGGGCTTGAACCCACGAACTGTGAGATTGTGACCTGAGCCAAAGTTGAATGCTCATTGACTGAGCCACCAGGCGCCCCAACTGATCTTTGACAAAGCAGGAAAGAATATCCAATGGAATAAAGGAAGTCTCTTTAGGGGAGCCTGGGTGGCTTAGTCGGTTAAGCGTCCGACTTTCGCTTAGGTCATGATCTCGCGGTTTGTGAGTTCGAGCCCCGCGTCGGGCTCTGTGCTGACTGCCGGCTCAGAGCCTGGAGCCTGTTTCAGTCTGTGACTCCCTCTCTCTCTGACCCTCCCCTGCTCACGCTGTCTCTCTCTCTCCTAGAAATAAATAAAAATATTAAAAAAAAAAAAAAATTAAAGGAAGTCTCTTTAGCAAATGGTGCTGGGAGAACTGGACAGTGACATGCAATAGAATGAACCTGGACCACTTTCTTACATTATACACAAAAACAAATTCAAACTGGATGAAAGATCTAAGACAGGAAGCCATTAAAATCCTAGAGGCGAAAGCAGGCAAAAACCTCTTTGACCTCAGTTGCAGCAGTTTCCTATTCAACATGTTTCCGGAGGCAAGGGAAACAAAAGCAAAAGTGAACTATTGGTACCTCATCAAGATAAAAAGCTTTTGCATGGCAAAGAAAACAATAAGCAAAACTAAAAGGCAGCTGATGAAATGAGAGAAGATATTTGCAAATGGCATCGGATAAAGGGTTAGTATGCAAAATCTGTAAAGAATTTATCAAATTCAACACCCAAAAAACAAATAATCCAGTGAAGAAATGGGCAAAAGACATGAATAGACACTTCTCCAAAGAAAAAATCCAGTTGGCTGACAGACACATGAAAAAATGCTCAACATCACTCATCATCAGGGAAATAAATACAAATCAAAACCACGAGATACCATCTCTCACTTTTCAGAATGGCTAAAATTAACAATTCAGGCAACAACAGATGTTGGCAAGGATGTGGAGAAATAACCCTTTTGCACTGCTGGTGGGAATGCAAACTGGTACAGCCACTCTGGAAAACAGCATGGGAGTTCGTCAGAAAATTAAAAATGGAACTAACCTATGACCCAGCAATTGCACTACTAGGTATTTATCCAGAGGATACAGGATTGCTGATTCGAAGGGGCACGTGGCACCCCAGTGTTACAGCAGTGCTATCGACAGTAGCCAAAGTATGGAAAGAGACCAAATGTCCATCAACTGATGATTGATAAAGAAGATGTGATACGTGTGTGTGTGTGTGTGTGTGTGTGTGTATGTAAATAGGTATAATGGAATACTCAGCAATAAAAAGGAATGAAATCTTGCCGTTTGCAACAACGTGGATGGAACTAGAATGTATTATACTAAACGAAATTAGGGCAAGACAAATATGACTTCCTTCATATGTGGAATTTAAAATACAAAACAGATGAACATGAGAGGGGAAGCAAAAATAATATAGGGAGGGGGACAGACCACAAGAGTCTTAAATACCGAAAACAGGGTTGCTGGAAGGGTTTTGAGTGGGAGGATGGGCTAACTGGCAAGGGGCACTGGGGAGAACACTTGTTGAGATGAGCACTGGGCGTTAAATGTAGGGGATAAATCACTGGATTCTACCCCTGAAGTTATTATTGCACTATATGCTAACTAACTTGGATGTAAATTAAATAAATAAGACTTGTAGGTGATCCAGTTGACGTCTTCCTTTGTGAGGCAGGATAGCATGCTGATTGAGCTTTTTTTTTTCAACCCAGCTTAATTGAAGTATGATTGACAAATAAAAATTACATATATTTAGTTTGTACAGCATGATATTTTTAAAGGTATAAATGATGATTTAATATATGTATACACTGTGAAATAATTATCTTAATTGAGTACCTTCAAATGTCATCACATTTGGAGATTAGAGTTTGAACATACAAATTTTGGAGGGGACACAAACCTTCAGTTCATAGCATGCCCCCACACCAACATGTCCATATATTCTCATGTCTCTTTCTGTTACACAAAAGGTAATGGACACAGATGGAATTAGAAGTGGGCATTTTGGGGGGAAGGATAACACTTGAGAAAGATCTAATGAAGAGGAAGCAGAATGAGGTAGAGAGCTTCAGGACTGTGCTACAGTTGCTGAAGTCTTAACCAGCTCTTGGGAGAGCCATGAGGGAAGTATTGGTGGTTAAAGGAGGCCCTCATTAGGCAGAAGTCTCCTTGGGAGTCAGCCCACATACTCCTCATGGCTGAACAGAGGGTTCTTTTCTGGAATAGAGATGCAGGTGGTGGTGTTCACTTTGCTTTGTCAACTTAAGATATTATAGGAGTCATTCCACGTTGGTTCACAAGGTTTGCCTTGTTCTTTTTTATATTTTACATAATGCTGCTGTGTAATCTTGTATCTTGTGGAGTTTCCAGAGTTCATTCAACCAGTTCTTTGGATAGATGTTTGAAGTATTTTGGTATTCCAGCAATATTGCACCTTATGTTGATTGTGGGAATTATTTCCACGGTGGATTCTTTGAGATGGGATTGCTGGTTGAGAGAGTAAACGAATACGTAATTTTTAAAATACTGACGATTTCCCTTCCACAGGATTTTTATTGTTTTATATTCCTACCAGAAGCGTGTGAGATAGATGGTGGTTTCCCCACAGCCTTGCCAACAAAGTGTGTTTTCAGCTTTTGGATTTTTGCCAGTCTGATGTTAGAAATGGGATCAGTGTAGTGGTAGTTGGCAGTTCTATCCATGTCTTCTATTGATTTTTTTTCTATCGGGTTTTTTTTTTCTTAGTTTTAATGATTCATATATTAAGAGTATTAACTTTTTGTCTGTATAATTTGCAAGTATTTTTGCTTTGTATTTTTTTTTTTTTTAATTTAGCTTATGGTATCTTCTGAACTTTTATTTTCATGAAGTGGTTAGTCATAAAAGTGATTAAGATTTGGGATCACTTCCAGTCTCTTATAAGAGTAGAGTCTGGGTAGTGTAATTTCTAGCTCTCCAGTGTTTCTGTCTCAAAAGGGAGCTAGACTAGATGTTGAAGGAAACAGTCTGTAGTACTTGCTGTGAGGGGCATTTTTAGGAAGACAGTGCTGTGGCCAGGAAGATTGACAGGAATAGGGAGGCACAGTGCTTCTCAACCTTATTTATTAGAGCCCTGCAGATTAGAATTAAGAAACTGAAGATGCTACAACCAAGACCAGTTAAAGCAATGTTTGCGAGGAGCTGGGGAGGCAGTCTTTTCAAGTGTTTCTGTGTGAGGGTTTTGTGTGGCCACAGTGAAGAACTTTGGACTAGAGTAAGTGGGGTGAGCTGTGCTGGGGCCCTGGGTCAGGGTGGTGATATGCTAGTAGGATTTGGTGGTGTGAGTGGTGTGCGAGTGTGGTGTACAGAGGATGTCCTGTTGCTGGTGTTTAATTACACTGTTTTAAATACTTGTTATGTGGGTTTTCTCTTTCATTTTAGAACACAGTAATTCATTGTTGGAAGGTTAGGATAGGAAGCGCCAAACAAACATAATAGTAGTGTTCCAGGAACCTCTTAGACACAAGACAAGTACAGGAGCAGATGATGCCCCTGGAGGATTTATTGGTAGAATTTATGGAGAGGACATTTGGATTTTGAGGGAGTTGTTGCAGAGGCCTACACGATAAGATCTAGGTCAGTAGTATTTAAAATTTTCTTTTTAACCATAAACCTTTGGAAAAGATTTGTAAGTGGATCCATAGTACTGAGAGAAGTTAAAGCAGCAGGGTGAATCGAGGGCAGGCTCCAGAGCCCGCCTGACCTCCTGCTGCTCACAGTTGAGGCCTCTGAGGAATTGTACAGGGTTCATAGGACACAGATTAAAAAGTACCTTCCTGGTCTTTTTAAAATAGACATTTTAAGTCTATTTCAAATGGAATCTGTCCTTGATGTCCAAAATGAGTGAATCTGGTAAACATTTGATCTCCTCACACTGTTTTCTAAGTAACTGGCCAAATGGGAAAGTGATAATATACGAAGGAAACTCAAAATAGCTTCTGCTGAGGTAGAGGAGGATCAGTTTTGTGACAGAGGAAAGCGACTCCGAAACAGAGGATTGTACGTGAGGTGAGACATAGGCACTCACAAATGGGGGTTCCTTGGGAGCGGTAGGTCAGAAGCCCCTGCTTTGCGGGGAGACCCGTGGAGCCTACAGGGCTGCTGCTGGAGCAGGAGGCGCCGCAGACCCAGCGCCTCCAGGCTGTGCTGTGTGCTGGAGACTGCGGGGCGCCTGTAAGGCCCTCTGCCCACCTCTGCATGTGACCACCAGACCCACAGAGATTCTGCTTTGGGAATTCTGTTCAGAATTCTACTCTGTTTTCTCCTTTGTTACTCTTGTGGTTTTTCACTTTGGTTACTCTTACAACCACGATGCCTTAAATATCCCTAGGAGACACTTTCTCTGCATCTCCTTAATACAGTGTCTTTTGAAGTCTGCTGTTCCATTTCAGCTTTATTTACAGGGGAGGGAAAGAGGAGTAGAGAAAGTAACCGCTCTTCATAACTACTCCGTAGACAGTAGTAAAGACTAGTGAATCTGGAGCCTCTTCATTGGCTTTGTGCCCTGAATATAAGGAAGGCTTTCTAACACCCCAGTTGTCACATGAATGGAGTGTTCTGAAGTGTGAACCAGTTGGGTCAGGGGTAGTCCTGGGCATGGGACTTGGAAGTGTCCCTAGGCTGTGAGGAGGCCAGGAACAAGTAACAGGCCCCACTGCTGGTGGGCACCTGGTGACCAGGGTTTTGACTCTAACACTTCCTGTCTCATTTGATGTTTTTGTTGTATTCACATTAGTAGTGGTTGTGGTTTACTGTTATTAAGGATTTCTCATTTGTAATTATTTGTAATTAGGTTGCTTGCAAGTGAGTTGTGAGATTAGATTTTTCCCATTTCCATGTGTCAGTGATGCCAGTTACAGCCCCTTCACCATACGATCTCTTAGCATTCTCATTACTCTTGCTAAGTAGTAAATTACATGATGAAAATCTAGAATAAAACTGGTAAGTTTAAAAGACTTGATTATGATTGCGACCCATCCTAATTCTGAGGAAAGGAGACAACTAGTGACGTACTGCTTAGCATACATACTGCTGTTGGGCTCCTTAAGTCAGTCTGTGGAGAAGGTAAAAACAGCTGGGTCTGTGGGAGCCATGGTTGTAAAACTGTGTTACTTTTCAAGTGGTGACATCACATTGTTCTGTTTTTCTCCAGCTGGTTTCCCCATGGGCTATGCGGCCGCAGCTCCTGCCTATTCCCCCAACATGTACCCTGGAGCAAATCCTACCTTCCAAACAGGTATGCATCTGGTATATGGTGGGTGGCAGAAGTGCTTTGCATGGCTGTGGGAGAGGGTGAAGTGGGAGGGTTTTGAGAAGAGCGGTTACAGAATTAGGATTTGGGGTTGAATTGATTTCTTGGTTCATAAGATTAGCCTTGTTGGGTGCAGTAAAAGCTTTATTCATACTGCATGTAAAGCTCTTGACACTGCCATTACTAGTGTTTGTCCACAACGTAGATCTTCCTTCTAATCACAGGTTACATGATTACAGGTAACTAGTATTTATGAAATAGTATGATTACTAGAAACTAAAGATTATTTTGCCTACTTAATAGGTGGAATTTCATGTTGCTAACATATTCAGACATAACTGATTTCTCCCATATTTTAGCACTTTGGTTATAGTTTTTTATTTCTTTTCTCTGAAGTATAATTGACAATGTTCCATTAGTTTCTGGTGTACAGCATAGTGATTCCACAAATCTGTAAGTTATGCTGTGCTCAAAGTGTAGCAACCATCTGTCACGAGACGGCCCTATTATAATACCTGATTATATTCCCTGTGCTATACCTTTTATAGTTTTAAAAGTCTTATTTCCTCTACATGAGAATATTTTTAGATTTTAGACATTAGTGGTAGAGTTGAAAGTTAACTTGGTTTGGTTCTTAACCCTGTAAAGAGAGTGGGACTTTCCTCTGTGAGCTTGCATTCTGCTCTGGGCTCGTTCCAGGCTCTGTTCGCCCAGAGTGGACTTCGTGATTCTGTTGCAGCAGGAGCCTACACTGACCTACAACTTGGCCTTATTAATCTGCTGAGGTGCTCCTCTTTTTTCATCTCAACTCCTAGCTGCACACAGTTTGATAGAAAAGCAGTTAGCAATATTGTCCTTTCCTTGAATTCTCCTTATTCTGGTAATCATAAAATTCTTCCTTCTGTGATCCTTCTTTCCTTTTCTCCTTTTCTTAAAAAAATGTGTCATTTATTTATCTATTTATTTATTCATTTATTCATTCATTCATTCATTTATTCATGCGAGAGCATGAGCAGGGGAGGGACAGAGAGAGAGGGAGAGCGATAATCCCAAGCAGGGTCTGAGTTGCCAGCTCAGAGCCCATAGCGGGGCTTGAACCCACGAACTGTGAGATCATGACCTAAGCTGAAACCAAGATTCAGATGTCCAACCAGCTGATCCACCCACGTGCCTGCCCTTTCTCCTTTTCTGTTCCTACTCTGACTGTAGTTTGCTCAGCTCATAGCTCACAGGCTTTGACCTTCTTGGCTTGGTCTTCCTGCTCCCAAGCTTTCTCTCTGGTTCATGTTCCCTGCCTGCTTACAGCAGACTTATGTTCCCAGATGAAGGTTTCCTGTGACTGAAGGTGAGACTCTCAGCTTTAAATCACTAGTTATTTGCCACATCGACCTGTTTTTTCCAGAATACTTTTTGTTTTGTGTTTTTGGGAGCTTTTAATTACTGTGTCTCCTACCTGGCAGAGAGTACCTGCTATCTTGTTGCCTATATTTTGGGGTCTGTAATAGAAATCCCTTTCCTGGGATCAGCAGTCTTACATTATTACTCACTGGATTCTCTAACAGCTAAATGACACCACTTTTGTAAACTTCTTTTGTGTAACTTTTTGAAAATAGGGGTCTTGAGGTACAGACGGCATACAGCAAATTGTATGTATTTAAAGTGTGTGATTTTGTGACTTTTGTTATATTGTATATAGTCCTTACAGTAGGGAGTGACCATAGTCTTCATCTCTAAAAGTTTTCTCCTGCCCCTTTGTAATCACCGTCAGGATCGAGGAAGTCACTGATCTATATTTTCTCTCACTATAGATTGTATTTTAAAATTATTGTACAGAGGAATCATGGGATGTACTTTTGGGGGGGAGGGGACTGGCTTCTTTCAATCACTGTAATATCCATGTTGTAGTCTTTTTTTTTCTTTTAATTTTTAATGTTTGTTTATTTTTTTTTTTTGAGAGAGAGACAGAACTTGAGCAGGAGAGGGTCAGAGAGAGAGGGAGACACAGAATCTGAAGCAGGCTCCAGGCTCTGAGCTGTCTGCACAGAGCCCGATGTGGGCCTCGAACCCATGAACCATGAGATCATGTCCTGAGCCAAAGTCGGACATTCAGCCGACTGAGCCAGTAGGTGCCGCATGTTGTAGTCTTTATCAGTAATTCATTCCTTTTTATTGTGAGGTTCCCTTGTAAGAAAATAACACAATTTACTTATCCGTTTCCCAGTTGGTGAACATATGGATTATTTTCAGTTTGGGGCTGTTACAGATGAAACTGCTATGAAGATCTGTGTACCAAGTCTGTGAATATATGCTTTCATTTCATTTGAGTAAATACAAAGGAGGGGAGTGGCTGGTTCTTGAAGCAGGTATATATTTAAATTTGTAAAAAATAGCTAGATTGTCTTCCAAAATGGTGATTTCATTTTATGTTCCCTATCAGCAGTGTGTGAGAGTTCCAGTTCCTTTATATCCTTCCCAACACTTGGTATAGTCATTCTTCTTAATTTTAGCCATCCCAATGGGTGTGTGGTAATACATCATTCTAGTTTTAATTCTAACTTACCTAATGACTAGTAACATTGAGCATCTTTTCATGTGCTTATTTGCCATTTGTAGTGCCTTTGGTCAAGTGTTTGTGTACACCTTACACAGTATGTCAGTTTTGAGTTTGTTTTCTTATTGTTGAGTTTGAGAATTGTTCTTCAGATACATGATTTGCAAATATTTTCTTCTGGTCTATAGCTTTTTTCATTCTCTTAATAGTGTCTTTAAAAGCGCAAGAGTTTTTATGTCTTAACTTATGTTTTTCTTTAAAGATTTTATTTTACATAATCTTCATACCAAATGTGGGACTTGAAATCAGAACCTTGAGATCAAGAGTCACATGCTCCACAGCTGAGCCAGTCAGGCACCCCAAGAGCAAGAGTTTTTAAATTTAATGATGTGCAGATTATCATACTGTTCATTTATGGGTTGTACATTTGGTATCATTTCTAAGAAATGTTTGCCCAACCCAAATCACAAAGACGTTCTGTTTTCTTCTAGAAGTTTCAGAGTTTTACATTTTATATTTAAGTGTGTGGCCCATTTTGGGTTTAGTTTTTGTATGTGATGGTAAAAATGGATTGAAGTTCATTTTTTGCATAAGAATTAGTTGTGGGGCGCATGGCTGGCTCAGTCAGTGGAACGTGTGAGTTTGAGCCCCGCATTGGGTGTAGAGATTACTTAAAAATAAAATTCTTAAAAATAAAGAAAGAAAAAGGAATCAGTTGTTGGTTACTATGTGTGATCATGCTGCAGACTACCCTTAACATGTCATTCTAGAATTTTTCAGAGCAACTCACTTCTACTCATTTTCTTCTTGGAGTATAAGTTAATGTAAAAGCATTCCGACTTTTTTATTCTTTACCAAAAAGCTTCAGATTTGTTTGAGGCTGGCAAAGCTCTTCTCTTGCCCAACGTGTGTAGCTCCCCGAGAGGAAGCTTGGTGTTTCTAGATCTGGTCAGCTTCCTCCTTTGGGGTGCTTCTGGATGTCCTCAGTCTTCTCCCATGTGTCTCCTTTCTCTTCTGGAGATGGGTCCTTTCTTGCTACTTGGCCAGGACTGCTTTCAGGTTGCTGTTGTAACCAAGAATCTGGGGCAGGCAGCTGGGAATAATGGGATTGTTGGGAATGATGCCTTCCTCATTCAAAGGGGTATCTGCTGATAGATGCCAGAGAGTTGTCAGCTGCCAGACTGCTGGCAAAGTATTGTCAGACCTTCTGATTTTTATGAAAAGTTGGGAATAAAGATGTATATGAAATTTGTGAATGACAAAATAAGCTGGGAAGAAACCAGGGATAAAGATGTATATGAAATTTGCAAATGAGAAAATAAAAGGCACTTAGAAGGTCCTTCTCGTGTCCCCCCAGTGCTTGCAGTCACCTTACCTGAGTCTGGGCCACGGCTGTGCTCCTGTCTTTTTCTAGGATCTGCTTGATGTTTTCATACTGTGAATTTTAAAATTTCCCCTTTCTCTTTGCACCAGATTTGTAGACACAGCTAAGGTGTATGTTTGTGGTGTTTGGCTGTCAGAGCTTTGACAGTCCTGATATTGCTTATTTCTTTATTCTTCTAAGTGTGACATTAGAGACGTTGTGATGAGATGTCCTGTCTTCTGCTCAAAGACTCCACGACTCCCCCTCTAGGCGGAGGCATCATTCGTTTCATCCTCATGGATGCGTGTAACAGGCTGAGTACCCATGCAGCAGAGTGGGCTGTCCTTTACTTGGGATCGGAGCAATTTATTGGAAAGAGTTTGAGCTGCGGAGTTAGTTTGATGTGGCTCAAATCCAGACTGTATTACTCCTGGGAAAGTTACTTTATTTCATTTTTGGCATTTGTATAATGTTTTTCTTTTTAATATAATTTATTATCAAATTGGCTAACATGCAGTGTATAAAATATGCTTTTGGTTTTGGGGGTAGATTCCTGTGGTTCGCTTATGTACAACACCTGGTGCCCATCCCAACAAGTCCCCTCCTCAGTGCCCATCACCCATTTTCCCTTCTCCTGCTGCTCAACCCTCAGTTTATTCTCTGTATTTAAGAGACTCTTATGGTTTGCCTCCCTCTCTGTTTGAAACTATTTTCTCCCCTTCTTTTCCCCCATGGTCTACTGTTAAGTTTCTCAAATTACACACATGAGTGAAAACATAGGATATGTGTCTTTCTCTGACTGACTTATTTCACTTAGCATAATACCCTCCAGTTCTATCCACATTGTTGCAAATGACAAGATTTCATTCTTTCTCATTATTGGCATTTGTATAACATGTTTCTCAGCTATATTATTTGAGGATTCTGGTAAGAAGCATGCACAATCAGACTCCTGTGGCCCTGAGGATGCACATTTAGACTTCTCTTCTACTCCCATTTACAGTCGTGAGTATCTGAAATTAATATTTACAGTTATCATATAAAGTCATAAAGCATACAATTCTTTGTAGT